CGGATGGACGAGTAATCGAGTAATCGAATTTTCCCAGAAAGAGCTCTTCAAAGATCTTTCGGTGTTGACGAAATCCGAACCGCTTAATTCCAAGCGTCCTGTTTACCTCTAAAAAATTTATAGAATTTTATACTTTTCCTCAACTCAAAATTAGTTGAATTCAGACTCAATTTGAAGTGCAACAAAAAGATGGCGCCACATTGTCATTGGCTCATTTTGAGTTGAGGTGAATTTATTAATCAATAATAATAATTTGTAAATAAAATAAATATATCAGTGTAGATAGTTATCGGCGTGGCATCGGACGTTGACACCTCGAAGTTGGATGTGCATTTGGCGAGCTAGTGTAAACACGGGATGGGATAGTGCTGCATCGATGTCAGTTTGGCTGGAGGAATGGGCACATATTCGGAAGTAAGGAAATTTACAATCCAAGTCTTCTCATACATTAAGTAAAGTTACTCGAAAGTCGTAAACGTCGAAATATATCAATAGCAGGGCAAGCACTAAATAACTTATACGTCCCTTTCCACTTCTTCTCAACGTTCTCTAGTCAAACGACTTCTTCCCATACCTCACCCTTTATAATATTGGTCACTGACCCATTTCGCTCCTTCAATAGAATACTTAGCCGCTCTCAATATCGTTTAATGATTTATTATTAACTGCTTCTAACTTGATTCGCCAACTGTTCTTGCAAAATAAATTCCTGAGTAATATTACAACTAATATTCATTTTTTTATCATTTTTTAATTTATTTTTACTATAGAACAAAAAATGAGTTTCTCTTGTGATACAGAAAATGAATAATAATGTTAAATTCTATATTATAATGAGAGAGATTTTAGCCAGGCCATCAGTCTACTGCACTTTCTCGGTCTCTAAGCCGTATTTACACAAGTAAACCCTTCTCGAATGATCGACCCGATTGCTTCTGGCATTCTGCTAACCTATGTAAGTCCTTATCGAACATCAACTAACGAGCAGTGAAGGAAGCTTACCTAAAGCTGCACTTTTAATTTTTTTAATTCATTTCAGAATAATCTCCAGCCTTTTCAATAGACTGAAACGATAAAAATACTGCAGCATATGTGTATATTACAGTTTTCGTCGAGAGAATTCTCGTAGTCGATTTCGAAATTTTATTGATTGAATGTATGTAAATAAAAAATTCGATTGAGCTGGGTTTAATTTCATCAATTAGAGGAATATAAATCTTTAAAGAATTAATTATAGTGATAGCTGCTTCCTCTATTTGAAGATTATTTTTCTTGGCGTATACAAATTGAACATCATTCGTTTAATTAAATAATGCAGTAAATTTTTTGTTTTATCTAAACAAGCATTGAAGCATGGAAATTGGATACGCACGGCTGCTCAAAAAGAAAACGTGAAAATTACGTTCCAACGGAATTTTTTGTTTTAAAAATAAAACTGACGCTGGGAAGCATACTTTTTAGCACGTGAAATTTAAACTGTTTGTAAAACCGTTCTTTTTAATTTAAACAAGAACCCGGAATTATGTTTAAACGATAAGAAAATCGTTGAAAAATATTTAAATTTCAACCTTGAGATATCGGAAATTTTCGTTCTATCATTTTAGAAGCAATAATAGATTTTCATGATTGAAATGTTGTAAATTGAAATAAATCCATCGATCTATAATAAAGTTTTGAGGCAATCGTTTGGTTATATTGCTATAAAATTGTTGAATCCACGTGACCATAAATACGACGTTGATGTTTGCGGTACGGTTCAAAGATTCATGATATTTGCGTGAATTGCACCGTGACATAGCGCACGCAACAATAAAACGTTATGATCCAGGTATAAAATTCCTGACCGGAAAGAGCTTGAAAACAAAATTATGAGACAATTTGCTGTTATTGTTCACCGTTGGAGTTATCAAATATTTATACATTGGAACATACATATTAGTTTCACTGAAATAATACGTAACTTTATGTGTAACATTGTACACGAAATCACTGCGAATAAAGTATTCACGTTGCAAGCATAGAAAGCGTTGAGTGCAAAATCCTAAAGTATTCAAAAGTGAAGTCAGTAAAGTATTTCCGACTCATGTGTAGTTCCGACATCTTTGGAGTGATCAACCTTTTCATACTCCATGAGAAACCCTCCAGGCACCATTGTTTGCATGCAATTTCCCCTCTCTCTCTGAATTTTCCAGAGAAACCACGCGCACCGTGCAGGAGTTGCCTCGCAGTCATTGTTGTTCTCTCATATTGTGTTTGTGCTCTAGATTTGTCTTCTATAACTATTATACTGATGTCCATAAAAATCGAGAATGACACTGATTGACAAATCATCTGTTAAATAATACTGAACGAGAAATCGTCATACAAAAATAGAACAAAGGTGTTTTTCCAATGTTTGGCTTGTCATATTTCAGATTAAAATGCCATTCATTTATGAATTTTATAAAATTTTCATAGGTGAACTTGTTTTCCAAATATTGAAAAAAATCTTTCATTATATATTTAGTTTCGTACCTGCAAATATTTTCAGAAAAGGGACAATATACTATACTATATTAGCAAATTTCAACGTGATTTGATCAATTGGCAAAAATTGCCCATCATGTTGTATCCGCCATTTTGAGTTTTTAAAATTTAATTGTTTTCTAGTTAGAGACTTAAAAGTCGTAATTGGGAAGTATGGAATTAAGTGTGAATTAGAAAGTGGAAAATTGGGACAGTCAAGAGTTTGCTGACATAAACTGGAAAAACGCGAATCTAGCTCACTCTTTCCAGGACTTTGCCGAGAACGTTATTTGCATTTTCCAATTCAATTCTGTTCAGCTTGCAGCAGTTTGTAAAATTAGGGGACTCTCGAAAAACTTAAGCAGCTACAAAGTGCAGCCAAAGTAAGGCGATTGGCAATTCGAAAAGTTAGCTGCTGCCTCCCGGTTCTTGTCCAAGTCCAATGCTCCATCGCATCGCATTGGTTCGTGTAGTTGCGAAATTTAGCAACTTTCTTGAAGCTCGTTGAATTAACTAAATAAATCTAATTATCGATATAGTGAAATCGATGACATCGTCGAGGCTATGGTTAGGACATGATATATTTATTTGAGCCACCACTTCATATTGATCCCGAAACATAAGCCTTTGTTCCCCCGTAATTAACTGCACATGCTAGCTGCTACGAGAGGATCGCATTAACGTTTGTGCACCAAAAGCTGGATAGTTAACGTAGCATTAATGAGTTGCAGTTTCGATCGGCAAATAACTATCATGCGAACTCTCCGCCATCGGCAAATTATACAAACTTGCATCAGACACTGAGTAATGCACTATTGTAAACATTTACGAAATTGCAAAACAAACGGGATTGTGGCATTCTCTAATTATGTAAACAAATGATTTTGAAAGTTTAATCGTTCGAAATTGAAATTCGGTTTTCTGTCAGCAGCGCAGAATATAATATGCTTATATTAACAGCGACGTGTTCCATTTTCCATTTGAATGCGCTATCAATATTAAACTTTTGTACTGATAAAGGCAATGTTTCTTACCAGTAGAGGAAAATAGTTGCATTCCACGCAGACATTTCCTCTCGATCGGCTCGACTCTAACTATGTCGCCGCATCTCCATTCTGAAATTAGCTCTCACAAGTAACATTCTCTGCTGTAAGGCAGCTGTCCCGTTTAGTAGCTTGCAGCTAAATGTCATTCTCGTAAAGACCGCTTATACGTCTCTATTAACAATGTAAGCCACATCACAGCCATTACACTTTCGCACTTCCTCAGGTACCTTGCTGATCGTGCTCAAATTTAACTCTTGTCGCCAAATAATACCTTATTCTGTAAAATAGTTTTTTCACATAAAATACAACTTTAGTTTATAAAACATAGATAAAAATAGATTTCTTTGAATACAATTAATCAATAATAAACTCATTTTTTTGGCGTTCGACTTTTTTATCGAAACAATTGTTTTCTTTTCATTATCTAGAGTTTTTTGGAACACGTCAAAGTATTCTGCTGTCAAACTATCCACAGTTATTAACATTTCTCGAATTGAAAATATTGAAATATGTGATTTTTCTAATATTTTGGTATCAAATTTCCATATAAGCTCTATTACATAATCTAAAGATTGACAAGTTATTGACTTTTAAAAACTTAAAAATGGTAGAAATCCTCATTATCAAGAATTAAGTTTTTAATTTTTATTTAAACTTTTATGTACAATAAAAGTATTTTTCAAAAATTACGACTTTTTTTCAACTTCTTTAGGAACTGTTTTTAAAAAAATGCTTTTTTTGGTTTCAAAATCGTACAACTTTTGATAGAATTGACCCACAAATTATATAGAAATACAAATAACTCAATATGAATGATGCCAGTTACAAAATATTCGAAATAAGTGTTTCTTGATTAAAGGAGACTGATTATGGTAAATTAAAACTCGATATACAATATTGATACATAGATTGATGTGTTATAGAATGATGATATCAGTATTCAAAATTTAAAGATTGCATTTTCACACGAGATATTAAATTGGCGAGTTATCATTGTGATGATAACTATAAAAGTTTTGAGAAATTGCTGGAAGCATAGTGAAGCAAAAGGTGGACCTGAGTGCGTGAGAGAATTTATAAGAGACGACAGTTAAGAAGAGCACATTTAACTACTTAAATGATGCAGGAGAGTTTTTTCTTTGGCGCATCAGGTTAGAGTAAGTGTCCCAAGTGGTAGTGTCTGTTTCTATCGTTAAGAAGGAGTATGTGAATGAGAGAAGGAAGATAAGGATCAAACAAGGATATACCAAGAAGGGGTGATGGGGAGGAAGGAAGGAAGGAAGGATGAAGGGGTTGAAGAATAAGAGCGAAAAGTGGCAGGAGGTCTCCTCGCTGTAGGGATTGTTGAGGGTGAAGGGGGGCAGTTTGGGTGGAGACGCGGTGCGGCGCCGCGGGCCGCGCCGTCGCCCAGCATCCCGCGAAGGCGCACCCTCACGGCGGCAATATCCGGTAGTCATACGTTGGCCCGATGCGAGCCACTCGTGTCCCGCGCATTCTCCTCGCGCTTTCTCTTTCTCGCTGTGTATCTCTCCTCCTCCTCCTGCTCCTCTCGGCCACGTTGCGGGTCCTTTGACGGAGAGTCCTTCTGACCTACTGCGCGCTTCAGTCTTTCCAAAAGGAATCTTTTCCCACCCGCGCGGGTCTGCGATCATTGCTTCAGATTAGCGACTCGGTCGAGATTCATTTGCGTCTGAAACGCGCGTGCATCCAATAGACGCCAGTGTGCTCCTGATGCACAGCAACAGCCGGTTTAATGTGATCAGGCCCTGCCCCAGTGAAAGTAGATTAGTTTAGTGGATTTCCAGTAAATATTGGCTCCAGCGCCAATAAGGTGCCGTTGACGTGCCTCTCGCGTGTCTTTGCAACGAGTAATCAGCTGTGATTGACACCGTCGATACGAGAGCCGATAGATTAACAATCATTGTTCGTAGCAATGGATACCTTCCTCATTATTGGACTTTGCATCATTTGTTATGAAGTTTGTGAACTCATTACACGTTACGCGACTCCGCAGGTTATTGAGACTCAAGATTTGAGGTCTTCAGCTAAATCGAAAATTTACTCCATTTCCGATAAAATACAGAAGCCTGCGAATTGCTGTTCGAAGTAAATGATATTTATCAAGTGAAAAAGTGCGAGGAGAAGCAGATGATGAATATTGTCAAGTGAAGCCATAAGAGGATTTCAAGTGTGGATTTTATGTTAAAAGTTGTTAATAAATTATGGATTCTCTACTGAAGAATGTAATTAAATTGATTTTAAATAGACGGACTTTAAATTTATATTGAAAAATGTGGCAGAGAATGTACTCAAGTTTTGAAATTTCAAAGTCTTTTGATGTACAGAGAGCAATTGGAAGTTTACCGTCTTGTTGGCAAATTGCAATTTCCCAAAGCAGAATTCTGCCAAAGAAGTGATTCTGTAGTGACGACGACAAAGAGCACTTCTCCCTTTAGGAGCCGAATTAGGTCCGGGCATATGTCACAGCAGCGTTGAGAAAGCGCCTGAGGCGTCTTGAGCACAACTCAAACTAACGCTCAATCACATGAAACTACCGCAACAGTATCGGGTCACTGAATACAAAAACGATAAGTAAACTCCAATTTTCTCGGCAGAAACCAACTGCGAACCCCGATTCCACGGAAATGTAGTCCCTTGGTAATTGAAGGAATTGTTCTATTCACGTTAAAGTGAATAGGAAATTAGATGAATCATGAAAGAGTGAATTTTAGAGATCGCAAAGTGGGAAGTGAAAAGATGGTTTGAGTGAGAAATGTGGACGGTGTTTCGGTGACCCCTTTCAGCGGCCGGGAAACCCACGGGGTATTAACGTGGTAAGAGAGATGGACTCGTTGAAGTGTCTAATGAGCGCCGCTCCTCATCAACCACCTCTCCTGGCTGCTGCTTCGAGATCACAGAATCCATTTGTTCAAGCCAAACTCTGTTCTGTAGTTGGTCGCAAAGGACGTCATCTCAGAATCAGTTTTTGTCTCACAGGCGATACCATGGATGTCATTAAACAGTGTCTCGTCTACTTCAAAGCTTCCGCGGTAAGCTTTTAATCCTCTTACACACCTACATTATTAAATAAGGCTATTTTTGCCGTTTTTTAGGTTATGAATTCAAGACATCGAGACAACTTTCCAATGTTTAGTACAGTCCAACTCCTGAATAAACTACGCATTGGTGGTTAGGGGTAGAACGTTTAGAAAGCTCCATTGTGTGAGGCTCGGCAGCAGTTTAAAAAGCAATCTCGACAGACTGAAAGTTTCCCATATTTCAGTTTAGTTTCATTCTTATCTAACAATAAGACAAAATTAATTACTGTATTGCATTATTGGTGGACCTTTAATTTGAATTTTGGAAATTCAAAAATAACGATTTAAGAGTTAGTTAATTGCACTCGAAACTTCACAGTGCAACTCAACTCAGATTACAATAATAATTACACTCCAAATTTCACAATGCATTTCATCATTAACATCCATTTTCAAGATTACAGTAATAATTTATCAATTAGAACACTATTATTATTTAATCTAAAATCAATAATAATATCATATAAATCCCTGAAATCTAACAACTATTCATAATTTTATGAAAGAATCTTGAAAATTTCTCTAACATTTCTTTTATGAAGAACACAGTTCCCACGTGAAAATATTTTATTACTTGGGTGCCTAAGTTTGAAAACAATAACGTATAATTACGAAGTACAATATTTGTAGACACAGTTAATTTAACCTTTGCGCGGCTGAGCTCGGACCCAGACAATTTTCCGCGCACGTCAAAAAATGAATTCAATGATCCAAATGTTAATATTAATTTGATACTTTTAAGTTAATCATAAATTCATCATGAATAAATAAATTATAAATAAAAAGTAAATATAACTGTAAGAATTATAAATTTTCTAGATTTATGTTGTTATGTTCAGAGATTTATAGTGAGTAATACAAAGAATCATATCATTTTTGTTAATGGTTTTGAAAGTGAGAGAGCGTCCAATTTCATATCAAAGATTATATTTTATTGAGAGGTTGTACTGTAGATTTCTTTTCATTACTTTCTTAAAATGTGTATTTTCTGAAAAGTTCTTAGCTTCTTTCAAAATTTTGAATTAGTGTTCTTAACTTTTTGCGTTTACTTATTAACATGTAAAAGTTCGTTATCGATAAAATATGGTTGTATAATATTATTATTGAATCAAAAAATTGATAACTATATAATCGTTATTTCCCGAGTCGAAATTTGAATCCTCTTTAGCTACCCTTAGAACCTAAATAGGCCCTCTTTTGGATCTTGTAGATTCCCGTAGGCCCTCGTTTGAATCCAAACGCGGAAGACCCTACTTTACTCCTTGTAAAGTAGGCCTTAAATTTGTAGTAGGCCCTTTGAAATTTATAATACCTAAAATGTTGAAATTTTTTATTGATGAATTGTTCTAAAATTCATTGTTTGAAATGAAAGATTTTAGTGTATTTTTCAACATCTTGGAAAAGTCTTGAAATTTGACGTATGTATATTACTAATGAATATCCATCATGACAAATTATATACTTTGATACTTACTTTGTTGAAATACGACCAAGGAAGAAGTCCATTTATCACATCAGAAGACTCAAAGACCTTGAGTAAATAGGAAAGTGTTTTTTCTTTTGATAATAATATGTAATTGATACAGCTTTTTGTCAAAGAAAACAGCAATTGTCAATGTTGCACCTTTTACTTTTTGCTTTCTTTTCATTTCTCTGAAATATTATTAAATATGTTTTTATTAAAGATCAATGTCATAGTTATACAGTCGAGTTACATGTTGTAGAAGATAAATAATATTCCATTTTGAAATTTGAACAATTTTCTTATTTATTGTGTTCGGTCTTGTCGACGGGGACTAATTGAATAAATTAAAAATTTGAAAATAATTTTTCTAAATATATCCAATAAATGTTTATCGGAATTTAAAAGGTAATGTCTGAAAAGTACTTTGGAACAGCATTAATAGATAACTGGAAGCAGTTGGGTGGGGTAAATTGAATGTGAAGCGTCGATAATGAGAATTCGAAATTGCACGTCGGAGGAATTATTCTCGAGAGCCGTACTTAGGTCGGGAGAATGAGTTCTTGCTTGACTGGAAATCGCTTTGTAAGGGGCTAGTCGACTTGGGGTTCCCTTTTCTTTTACTCCGAGAAACCCTCCATTTCTGTGTTGCACGCATCATTCGAGGAGAGTGAAAAAGACAGATTCACGCCAATCTTCTCTTATCTCTATATATGTGGCCAGTTCCTTGTCCGACCTGCTCGCGCTAATCCCGGCATAAATTTTTCATATCAACCCCCCCGGCTTCAGAAAAAGAGAAACAGACGAGAATCTCAAACTCAACTCATACTGATAAAAATAAACTCTAAACCCACTTCCATAGGAAATGTTTGTTTTCGTTTCGTCATACGTCTAGACGAACTCCAACTCAAGAGAAGCAGAGAAATTGTGCTCTACTGTTTTCAAACACTTGTCTGTCCAATTGCTTATTTCGACACTTGTTAAAGTACATAATATTTAAAATTTATTCATGTAAAAGCAGTTTTGACGTTCTACAACTCTATTATTTTTGTCATAAATTCTTCGGAATAACTTTTAAATAACTCCTCTGAACAAGTTCGTTCAACTTATTACTAAAAACAGGTTAAAAATATTAAATCGCAGTTTAAGAGAAAGTTAAAGCGTTAAATTTAATAGGTCAAATTTAGTTAGTTACATAATTGCATTTTGTAAATTTACTTCAATTCAATATCTTTAATTGGACTAAATTTAATCAAACACTTGTTTGATTCAGTCACAAAGGCACAGAGAGAAAATACAATACATATAAAATACATTATTTATAATTATGCATCATAGTATACCTACAAGGAGAAAAAAGAATTGTTGTGGTTACTAAAAATTAAGTCCCACACAACAATTCCGGATTGCCAATATAGAACCCGCAGTTCTATTTGTTTTTTGGACCAAAAAAAACTGTTCAAATGGAATTGTTATTAAAACTATTTGGATTGTTCGGTGAACAAACAGAATTGTTTGATGAACAAACAATATTGTTATGGAACAGTTGAAATAACAAAACTAAATTGTTAAATCAGCAATACAATTTGTTGTATTAACAAAGCTTTGATCCATCTAATACATTTTGTTCAGTTTCTACGCCTTCTAAAAATATGTAGTTTTTAAAATTTTTTCCTAAACATATGAGAAATAGTTTAAATGTTCATTTGTTTATTAAATAAACAATTTTTTGCATAAACAATAAAGGTTAATTGAAATTTCTATTGCATTTCAAAGAGACATAATTTTTCAATATACTCACCAAATTTTATTAAATTTCATTAACAAGCAACAGAGTAATTGCATATTTAGTGGAAAGGTAATGAAATATTCAATTGTTAATAAATAATTAAAAAATTAATTTTTTTAAAAACGCATTTCAGGAACATTTTTAATTCGGCTTCCTGCAGTAGATTATGAAAAAAAATTTTTTAAATTTGAAAAGTCAGTTTTAGGTGGCCCAGTTGGGAAATTTTCACCCTAATATGAATAATTTGCAGAAGGATTACAAAATCCAGTGTATTAAAATACCTTATTCTCTTAGGCTCCACGTTATCTAAACAATTAAAAGTATATTTTTCATTGTCAAGCAATATCAAATATACGTGGACCTACCCTCTACTGATGTTTAAAAAAATACGCAGCAAAAATATACTATACGAGTTAGAAAATAGTTATACGATATGACAGAAACAGCTAGAATTATGGCAGTAATAACGAAAAATTTCTTTAAGTGTAGAGTGATAATATTGGATTTTTCTCTTTAGCAAAAACCCTCTTTACAAGAATTTTTTTTCAAATTTTTTACTCTATGTTGTGAAAATGACCTATTTTTATGTTTCCTATAATTTAGGGATATAAAATTCAACGTTTAGATTTTACTTTTAGAGAGAAATAAACTTATTTTAACAATGCTCTTTCGGTTTGAAAAGCCGAATGTCGCGCAGCGTTGCATTACATCACCGACTGTAATCCGTAGAATAAGCCGATTCATTTCTCAAAGCCGACACTTTCTTGACGTGTACTTCTTTGCTCAGCTTTATGGTCAATTCTGTATAAAAGTATTGTACTAAAGAGAAATAAACAACATATTTTTATTTTTCAAATTTAGAAACAGAATTTAGTTGAAAGTTTGGATATTTAAACCCCTACACTGTTACTGACCTCTATACATGGAAAAAAATTTCTAGTGTTATCAACAGGATCTCTAGCGCTGAGTTTTGGGAAACAAACAAATTTCATAGAGTGTGTCACAATACAATTCATTGCGCATGCGCTATATGTCTCTGTACTAACGCAAATCAGGTAGTACTGCTTCCAATTTGTGTGTTTGAAACACAATTTTCTTATAGTCTACATGACAATTTATAGAATTGTCTTTTCTGAAATTTGTAGTGTTTTTTGCTACAAGAAATTTTTTTCCGTGTAGAAGCAACAAAATTCGTGCCACTTTGTACTAAGCTATTATAAAATAGAGAGAATTAGTATGAACTTTTTCTTAAATTTAATGAATTAAAATTTTAGAAACAAGAAAAATTCATGAACAAAACAGTATAATTGAATTATCTTCATTTGCAACTGAAAGCATGGCGAGACGTGGTAGTTGATTCCATAGAAGTATCTAATTAAAATTTGTAATAAAAGATTGCAATGAGTACATAATTATTACATACCTTCAAATAAGTTCGAATAAGTTTTACCGAAAATCAATACTTAAGAGACAGAATCTTTTGAAATTAGCTAAGAACGAGTTCAGACTGGGTTTTCTTCTGAAAATTGTTTTCCGTAAAATGGCACAACAACCTCATTTCGAATTTCTTGTACTATATGTTTGCTCTGCAGTAGTTGCCCCAAAGCGATAACCACTGCTAGATCTTCGAGCTGGGAGCCTTTAAGGTGCCTCGTATTTCTTCACTATCCATCCCAACCCCTGCACTCTCTAGAAAACTTA